ATCTTTTTGGAAAGATCTTTTTGGAAAGATCTTTTTGGAAAGATCTTAAGGGCCTTCAATGCCCAGGAGACGACTTGGCACTTGACTCTGAAGGGGAGACACTGAAAAACTTTGTTTTAGGAAGAAAACCCTGAGGGCAATGCAGACAATCCACAGACCCGACTGAACTCCTCAGGCTGCATCCAAGTTAGATCCAGGTCTGACATCTGAAGGAAGCAGCAGCAGGAAGGTTTTGCCAAGGAGAACCCTGAGTTCCGGCCGTAATCGCACAGAAAGCCCAGGGGTCTCTCAGGAGGAGGCTGGCGGGATAAATCATGTGAAGGCACAAAAACAAAACGGGTCCTCAAGAAGACAGCACTGAAAGAACCCAAAGATTCAAATTCTCGGGACTTGGGCAGGTACACACAGGGCTCTCTTAACGCTACAGCCGGCCCCACTCATTAAGAGGCAAGGGCCACGGGGAACGCAAACTGGTGCGGCCCCTCTGGAAAACGGTATGGAGGGTCCTCAAAAAGCTACAGACAGAACTACCCTGTGATGCAGGAATCACACTGCTGGGTATTTACCCAAACGATACAAAAACACTAATTCAAAGGGACACATGCCCCCCTACGTTTATATAGCAGCATTTCCACAATAGTCAAACTATGGAAGCAGCCCAAGCGTCCATCAACTGGTGACTGGATCAAGAGCTGGTGTGGTGTGTGTGTGTGTGTGTGTGTGTGTGTGTGTGTGTGTGTGTGCATGCATGGACACATACGTGTATGTGCAATGGAATATCAGTCAACCATAAAGAGAATGAAATCTTGCCATTTGCAACGACACGGATGGAGCTAGAGGGTATAACACTAAGTGAAATAAGTCAGAGAAAGACAAATACCATCTGATTTCACTCTTAGGTGAAATTTAAGAAACAAAACAAGCAAAGGGAAAAAAGAGAGAAACAAACCAAGAAACAGACTCTTAACTACAGAGAACACACCGATGGCTACCCGAGGGGAGGCGGCTGGGGGGATGCGATTGAGGGCTGCACTTGTGATGAGCACTGGGTGACGTGTGGATGTGCTGAATCACTACACTGTGTGCCTGAAACTAGGAACACTATACAGGGATTAAAGTAAAAAACTTAGGGGCGCCTGGGTGGCTCAGTCGGTTAAGCGTTCGACTTCAGCTCAGGTCACGATCTCACGGTCCGTGAGTTCTAGCCCCGTGTCGGGCTCTGGGCTGATGGCCCAGAGCCTGGAGCCTGCTTCCGATTCTGTGTCTCCCTCTCTCTCTGTCCCTCCCCTGTTCATGCTCTGTCTCTCTCTGTCTCAAAAATAAATAAACGTTAAAATAAATAAATAAATACATAAATACATAAATACATAAATAAAGTAAAAAACTTAATGAACAAATAAACAACATGCAACCACCATTAACTATTTGTGTGAGAAAAAGAGAGTGGGGGTGTGCAGGGGGTGGGGGCCGGGGGGGACAACCCATAACCCAGGGCCAGTGGTTGACAAATGCACCAGAAATCAGCACTTTATGGGCAGGGAGGTGCATTCTAATCCTTCCTCCCTCAACCATCTCAGTTCTAGAAGTATCTTTATTTGCCAAAAGGGCACCAGGCTCTGAAACAGGAGGCCAATGGCTCTGAAACCACAGCACTCCCGGCCTACGTGCCTCCCACAGCAATGACGTGCCCTCCGCTTCAAGACAGGTGTCTTCCCAGTGGCCTATCCTGTTTGAGCGCTAGTCCATTATTTGCATTAGCCCATGCAGCCTAGAAAGTCACCTCGAGAGCCATTCTTCAAAGGAAAGAACGTTTTATATTTTCTACAGTTTGCGCAGATGTTGGCAATGAGCCTTGGCCACCAACCTAGATGTCTGGTAAATATCAGTTACTCAGTTACTCAGTTACGCCCCCGATCTGCGCTAGGGTCTTGCTTCCCGGTTGGGAGGTGTTTACCGTAAAGGGACTTGAGGACTGAGGTTCAGAGGCTAGGCTCCCTTGCTAACTAAAGAACCCTGGACAAACACCTGATTGCCCAGTCTAGCTATCCTTACATACACAAAGGAAGGAAGACAACAGTACTGCTCCCATACTGCTACGAATAAGTTATAGCTAATGTTTGCTGAGTGCTTTTCAAATGCAGGTACTGTTCTGAGCACTTTAAAAGTCCTGCCTTATTCAATCCTCAAAGCAACCATATGAGATAGTGCTGTGTTTTATTCCCATTTTACAGGTACGGAAACTGAGGCAGAAGGAAGCTAGTAAGGCCTGGAGAGGCTGGGATTCAAACCTGGCTGCCATATTCCAAAGCCTATGTTTTTTGTTTTCTTTTTTTTAATTTTTTTTTTTTCAACGTTTATTTATTTTTGGGACAGAGAGAGACAGAGCATGAACGGGGGAGGGGCAGAGAGAGAGGGAGACACAGAATCGGAAACAGGCTCCAGGCTCCGAGCCATCAGCCCAGAGCCTGACGCGGGGCTCGAACTCCCGGACCGCGAGATCGTGACCTGGCTGAAGTCGGACGCTTAACCGACTGCGCCACCCAGGCGCCCCCCAAAGCCTATGTTTTGACCAGAACTGGTTACTCCCATGTAACAAGCTTAGCACAGCACAAAACACAGTAAGAACTCAAAGTCTTGGGCAAAGTCTGAAGACTTAACAAGCGGTACAAGAACCAGACAAGAGCAGGGCCCACAGCAGAGGCCCTCCCCTCTCCAGTGCAGTCGTGCTAGTTCATTCCTCCCACAGGGTCGCCCCCGAGACCTGCCCCACCGCAGAGACAGCACTCCGTGCCCACCTTCACTGAACCTCCTTCGGCCTCTTTTAGAAGTTACTTCAGGCGCGAAGTCAGCGAAGCGCCCAACTTCAGCTCAGGTCACGGTCTCACGGCGCGAGTTGGAGCCCCACATCGGGCTTCGGAACTCTATCTCCCTCTCTCGCTGCCCCTCCTCCACGTCCCCCCCTTGCTCTCAAAATTAAACAACTATTTTTTAAAAAGCAAGTTACTTCAGATGAAGCTTAGCCAGGAACATCAGTGGAGGAAGCACCAGTGTTCTTTCCTTTCTTCCAGAATGCCTGCCACAACCTAGCCCCCCAGCCACTGCTGGCTCAGCAGGTGCCTCACAGGGGCCCCGAGCACCCTAACGTCTGCACTTCTGCCCACACCTCCCTCCATTAATGCCAATGCCACACACACCATGACTCCAGGCTCCCTGACCCCCCATCAGAAGGCCGCCTCCCCTCCAAGGGTACGTTCCCTGTTAACATCTCGTGATGCACAACCCTGCTGTCCTACCCAGGACGCAAGCTCACCGAGGGGACTGTGTTTTACCCTCTCTGCAGAGCCCAGAGCTCCCGCGGACGTGCCCCCGTGACTCGCACTCCGTGGGCACCGCCTACCGGACACGTCACCGGCAGTAACAGTCATCAGTTCCCAAACAGAGACTTCTCCAGATAGGTAGGCTGCGTATAAAAGTGCTCGATCTCCATGCAGTAACTGACCCAGGGCAAACGGATGTCCGCAGTTACACGTCTTCGCGAGAAACTGGCGCGTCCGGCCCTTGGGCAACGTACCTGCGTCTCCGTCCTCCTCACCCCAGTTCAGCACGATGATGCAGACATGCTTCCTCAGCTGGCGCGGGTTAGAGAACTTTCGACGGCACTGGCCGCACTCCAAGCTGCCCGGAGCCAGGCTGCTCCCCTCCTCTGGGGCCGGCGGACTGCCCTCCTGCGGACTGACGACGCTCTCTGCCAGCTCCTCCTCGCTGCTGGGCTTCTTCGTGGACCCCTTCGGCCTGCCTCTCTTCCTCTTCATGACTGAAAACTCTACCAAGGAAACAAGAGGGCACAACGGAGTCACAGGAGGCGACAGTGCACGGCACGCACTCAACTTCCAAATGTGGAAATGTGTTCAGTTTCGGGTTTTATGAAAAACAGAAAGTCTGAAGCCGTTCCAGAAATTAACAGCTGCAGACGTACCTTTAGTGCTCACAGTTTTGCATCCACATGCCAACGTACAACCAGTTTTCTAATACTCTCCTTTAAAAATACTATGCGATCAAACCTTGGCACAGGCTTCCTCCGTAAAGTGGGGACGATTTTGAACTGTGACCGGCAGCCGCCCGGTTCACAAATCAGACTCCTAGTGAAGCAAGCAGCGGATCCATTTATACCCAGTTCCTGAAAAAGTGCTTAAGGACTTCTTTGCAAAGGATTCTCAAAGGCCGCTTAGCCTTTCATGCTCATAATGAGCTGCACAACTATTCAGATTATTTCAAGGCGTCATAATTATTACAGCCAAATTGTTCTGATAAAACAGGGAAAAAAGAATTACAATCTCAATCTACCAATTACAGGACGAAAGACAAGAGCAACGTGCTTCAAGTTTCCAGGCAACCTAGCGAGTTGGATGGCATGCTCAGAGCCGCTCTGGAGCAAGCTTCAAATCATTTGTCAACTTGTAACTCTGGTTAATTAGCACTCGTCTTTAAGGCAGTCACCTCCAGAATGCGGGTAGGAAGTGAGACTGGCGAGCGGGGTCGGGGAGCATCCTGCTGTTGCTCATGTGAAGGTGGAGGGGCGCGGGCTCAGGTGATGTCACGTGACAGGTACCCTGAGAGACGCCAAGCAGGAAGCCAGCACAGTGTGGCCGGCGCCCCAGGGCCAGGCGCCTGCAGGGTGCCATCCTCTCTGACTCTGAGCAGCGGAGGAGGGGAGGGGTCCTAGGCTCCAGCACCCACCCTGGGAAAATGGTCACGTACCAAGCAGTGAGGTCTTCGGGGCCCCTCCTGCTCTCTCCAAGGCTACCGCCCTGCACAGGAAAGTGTCACCCACCCGCCCTCGGCCGCCCCCATGAGGACCCGTGAAATGGGCTGCGGTGCTCCCAAGTCAGGCAGGGAGACCACAGGGGAGAGGAGGGCAGGATGGTTCTGGGGCAGAATCTGCCAGGAACCAGCGAGCGGCTTGACGACGTGGGCCCTGGACAGAGGAGGCTGCTCCGACGCGGGGTCCCCAAGAACTCGAGGAGACGGAGCACTGGAACGGGGGAAGAGCTGCGGGGGGAGCCCTGGCAGGGGCAGGGCTTCTGTGGAGCTGCAGGGCTGGGCTGGGTCGGCGCCAACCGAGAGCCACAGCGGAGCCCTCGTCGGCCAGGGCCGCAGTGAGGCATACAATCCCTGCCTTCCCGCTCTGTCCGGGGCGTGTTGGAGACGGGGGGCCGGGGAGGGAGCACTTTACAACAGGCAGGCAAAGGCAGAGACCAGGTGGCACGAACGAGGGCACAGGACGCTTCGATCCTGTGGCCCACACCAGGTTTTACCGAGCAGAACAGCTGTGTAGACACAAGGCCCAGCCGACGTGTATGGGAGGCCGGAGGGGGCGGCGAGGGAAGGAATGTACACAGTAAGGACAGAACTGTTTACCTCACGGTCATGAGAACAGTTCTCCTTGTTTTCCGTCACCACGGCATGATCTTGTGCAAGTTACTGAAGCGGCAAGGAACAGCAGAGAAGGACTGGCTGTGAAACACGCACCGCGTGTCACGTCGGCTGAGCTGCAGAAGCGTGTCTCGTGACAGTTACGGACGCCTGTGGCCCGGGCGCAACACCGAAGAGGGACCCTGAACCCTGCCATGCAGACGGCCTGATGCTCCTCTCTGAAATGCCCTATGAGGACGCAGCCATGTAGACAAGATGTCTGGCCTCTGCCCCTGGCTGCTGGGGGGGACCTCCAGGCCCTCAGGAGGTCCTGCCCGACAGGCGTGCCTGTATGCCTGGTCTAACAACGTGATTTATGACGGGCCCTGTGACAAGTCAGACCGGCCCTGACCTCTGGAGGAACCGGAGAACAAACGTCCTCATCTGAACCTACAGGACGAGCATGGGACCAACGGCCAGCCACGTAGGCAGTGGGTCACCAAGCCCCCCATAAAACCTTTGGACACCGGAGGCTGGGGTGAGCATCCCTGGCTGGAAGTTCTTGGGTCCTGTCATGTAAGACAGCCGGAAGAAGGCAAGGCATCCAGGACTCCACAGGGGCAGGAGGGTGACCAAAAGGTCCACACCTCAAACCCTCCAACCCCAGACTCGGCCCCTACATCTGTCCCTTTGGTTGGTTCCGACTCATACACATTTTATAGAAAATGGTAATCGTGGTACGCTGCTTTCCTGAGTTCTGTGAGTCATTCCAACAAACCACGGAAGCTGAGAGAGCCCTTGGGGTCCCCCGGATTCGTAGCTAGCTGGTCCCGGGGACCCCCAAACCTACGGCTGGGGCCAGCAGTCTTGTGGGCAACCGTGCCCCTCACCCGGGGTTCAGCACGCTCACAGCGGCAGGGCACCCCACCTTCCCTCCTCGGAGACAAGCCGGAACACGTGCCACGGTGCCACGGGGTGCGGGGCTCTGCCTGCCGCGGTCTGTGCACAAGGGACTCACGGCCCTGGTCCCGACTGCCCGTTGCCCCCCCCAACACCTAACCTGGTATCCCGCAGGGCCGGCAGGCACTGATAAATCCCAGTGAATTAAACTGGTGAGCGGTGCATAATCTGGCTGTCAAGGGAGAGACACAAAATCAGCCCTGAGAGCCTTGGAAAACCTCTAACACGACGGTGACAAAACTCATCTTACATCTTGCCACATCCATAATGCAGATGCTCAAGACCAATTAGTTAGCAAAAAATGAAATATTCATAAGTGAACTTGGAATAACTGAAGAGCACTGGGAACCGGGGCAACCACGGACGCCCCGCAGAAGTGCTGAGAACCCGGGCCCCGGGCAAGCGAGGTCCTAGAACGCCGCGGTCCAGACCTCGGCATGGGCTTCCTTTCCGTCCCCTTCCTCCTCCGTGGGTCCCTCTGTCCGGTGTCTCTGTGATCTGTCCCAAAGACATCTGCCCACGGAACCCCCTCTCCATTCCCTGTCACCTAGATCCCTTCACACGGCCTCCAGCCTCCTGCTCCCGCCCTCCTCCGCCTCCACCCCTTGTCTCACTGCTGTGCCCTTGCTCTGGAACTTTCCATTGTTTACAACACTCAGACCTGGCTTTCTAGGTCCTTTCTCACAAGGCTCAACACACACACACACACACACACACACACACACACACACACACACAGAGCTGTGCTCTCTCCCTGCTGCTCGGCAATGTTCTAGACCTCACGAAATCTGCACAGGTAAGCCCAGTCTCTTTTCTTATACCCGCACTTCGCCCCCTGCCTGTGCCCACCTCCTGCACCCCAGGCCCCAATTCAAACCCTCAGAGCCTCCTCCACGAGGCCGCCCCAGCTGGTCTCACGCTGACAGTATGAGACACACGTAGCATGTAAGTCACTGACACAGCCTCCGACTGCATGTGTCCCTTTCTCCCCACCTCTGTCACACATCCCAAGGTTGAACCCCCAGGGCCCACAGGATCGCAGACAGAGCTGGAGATGTCGTAGCCACCGAATAAGTAAATACACGTCCATCAGTTGTTTGAGGACAGAAGGCCATTTCCCGTGTCCACAGTTTCCCAAAGGAAGAAAAGGGCGGGCCAGCATGCATCATTTCAACCCTGTCCCAAAGCTGTAGTTGGGGGGACAGCTTCCTCACAGTCAGAAGATCCAAGGCCAAAACGAGCAAGGGACAGGAAGCCTCTGCCAAGGGTTTTTCAATTCAATCAGAAGACAACATGGGCACCACACTACTCCACACTAGTAGCTCCACACTACTAAAAATCTAATAACGGGAGCCCTTTATTTGTACATCACTCAAGTGTGCGAGGCACTTTCCCAGTTATTATCTCATTTCATCCTCATAAAAACCTTAAGAGATGGATGTAGCAAATGTAATTTCCTCAATAGGAAAAGAAATGAGGGCCTCAAAGGTTCGAGGCACTCAGCACATTTTCCAGAGCCTACTGCTGAGCTCAGAGCCAGGATCCAGGTTTCCTTCTCCCCGGCCCAGATCTTCCACTGAGTCACGTACCCCTCGGGAGGGTGCTCAGCATGTTCAAGGCACCAGTGTGTGTGGTGCAGAGAACACCAGCTGGGAGACAGGCCGCCCTGAGTTCAATCCCCGGAGCTTCCATTTCCAATATGAAGAATAAACACAAGACTGTCTGTTTTATAGTCACTTATAAATAAAAGCAACCCATTAAGATGTTGAGCGTAGTACTTAGAAGGTGATGGATAAGTGACAGCTGCTTATTACTATGGCCCTGCTCATTAATATTCTGATGTGGACAGTCTCCCTGAAGGAACTATCAGCCTCCCAGCCAGGCCACCATCACATCATGTGATTCGTCAATGCACACCCGTTCTTGTTCATTACTGCACTTTTCCCTTGGTTTCTTCATTTAGAGTTTCTCACACAGCAAGAAAGCCAGGGCAGAATTCGGGGCATCCACATTTCATTGTGCTGAAGACTAAGGAGAAAGCCAGCACCCTCACTCCGTGGCTTAATCATGTCACTCCAACTCAAGAATTCAGGAAAATCCTGAAACTCTTCACACAGTTGGTCCTGACACTCAGTCTCTGACATTTACTTCCAAGGAGCCCAGGAAGCAATGGGAAGACGATGAATTATTTATCAGAAGCGCAGGAGTGTGAGCCTTCTAGGCTTAGGGGGAACGCGGCGTCCCCTTCACGGGACAGACTATGGCTGGCCCTGGAACACGAGGCACCGGGGAGGCAAGGCACCCCAAGCCTGCTCCCCGTGGACTTCCCAGCAATGATGCGGAAATGTCATGTGAACAACGGCAACAACCAGCGATCATTAAGCACGTACAGCTCAGCATTGCGCAGAGCACTTCACATGCATTTCCCCATCAAATGTCTGGGAACCACTG